CCCTACTTCTCTCTGTGCTCTGCTTAAAATATTTAAGAACCTCTTTGCTAATATAATGATGCCAGAAACAAAATTTCAAGATATGTGGAAGCTCTGCAGTCTGATTCTATCTATACAATAAGAAAAAAAAATTTAACCTGTAACTGGGAGTCATGGTTCTCTGAGAAGCCAAGCTTTTTTAATAAAGAAGAACAAACTATGTTTTCTCAAGCTTCTTGAATTATAATACCAACTTTTTTAAACTTACAATCTGTTGCCATTTTTAGCTGAAAAATCTTGCATGTCTAAGGAACAGATATTTCGGTGGCATCTGTAATTATTTTAACCAACCTGTCTCCCAACTTTTATTTAAACATTAAAGTAGCTGCTGGATAATATTCACTGAGTGCTGCTGTGTGTCTCTCCTCCAACCATGTAGCTACTCTCTAAGCAGTGATATGCAACCGAAGATCAGATGTCTCAAAGTTACAGATCTGATGATGTTACACCGAGAGTTGGGAGACGGGAGCAGCTCCAGAGAGGAAAAAAATACACTGACTCAGATAGTTGCACCCAACCTCTGCTACCTTTGGCTAAAGTAAATAAGCGGAAAAGGAAAAAAAAAGCTGAAATTATCTGTGTAAAAATCTCTGACTCCCATGAGCATCATACACATGATTAGTTCAGCATACACAGAGCATGTAGCCTGAGGGATTTCCTCTGACCTGTCGACCACTTTTAGACAGTTTCACCAAACGTTTGATCATCTGGGTTTAGGAAAAGAAACAGGAACAATCCAAGCTTCTTTCCAACTTGTTGAACAAAAACACCAAGAAGAAACCAACAAAAACAATCACAGCTAATCAATATACACCAACGTGTTAAAAGGGAAGGATGTATAAATCTGTAGAACAATGAATCACCAACACTGTGACGAATACCGGGGAGACAGTCTGCATTTAGGGCAGTAACATAGACGTTTTAGTTCTCCTTTCTTCCACTAATCAAAATCCCCCGACAGTGGAGCTGATAAAGTCCGTGAGCATATGTCTCGACATATGGCTAAAGAAGATTACATCAATTATTTCCCACCATGAAAGAGAAGCAGCAAACCAGTCTGCTTCCTGCCAACTTTAATAGAAGAAGAAAGAGTGTAGAAAACGTGAAGCACATCCAAGATGCTCTTATTATAACCCGGAATATAACAGTTTTCCCTCTAGACTCAAAAAGCCAAACGCAACATGACGCAGACCTCAGCTGCTTGCCTGTAATAATCATTATACGACAACTGTGCATCACAGTGCTTATTAGAAATGATCTAAAATGACTATTATGACATAATGGAGTGTCATATTTTGACAGCTGTGTCAGCTCGAACCAGAGGAAGAGAAAACATTCATCTTCCCCTCTAAGGATTAAAAATGCCCTTCAGGAAAAAAAAAAAAAAACTGTGACAAAGCAGGATTTTGCCACATGACACCACAGCCGACTCTTCAAACAGTCGGCGACAGTGCCGTAAATCTGTAAGGATTTTACTACACCATAAAGCAACCCTGAAGGAAGCAATCTCCATTACATCCGCTTTCCCCTTATTGGGTGACTTTGTTTAGGGGACACAGGGGCCCACACTGCAGGGCCAAACAGGTAGATGGACATAGATAAAGAAGAACCTGACACCTCTCAGAGAAAAATTAAAGGTATTGTGGAGGGTTTTTGCGACCCACCCTCTCCAGTTAAAAAAAATTAATGCACGTGCAAACCCAAATAACCGCTATGAGGAATCGCCTATAAAACGCGTGCAAGAGCATGCACAAGCCTATTTCTCCTTGTGCACGCTCTGCTTGAAAGTAGCTGTTTGCATCGCTTATACAGCTTTAAGGTTGTATACACTGATGTTATTCCACTCCACAAGGCGAGAGGGAGTATCACCAACTAGCTGTGGGTCTAGATACGGCCGAGGAGGTCAGGAAGTGGGGGGCAACGGAGGGACATGAGGGCGAAAAAGGCAGCGTTCTCTCACACCTCACTCTTCTAGCTGGTCCATCTTCACGAGTTGTTTTCCACAATGGCAGTCATCCAAACAAAACCAGCCGGTAAGGTACCAAACAGGAAATACGCATGGTGTAGAGCGGATGTAGATTTGACCAATCAGAGGCCTCCTGTCTGCAGTCACCTACAATTTTGGAGAGGTGCAGCAGAGTGTCTGTGGCGGGGGCGCGGGGGGCTAGTTTCTGAGCATAAACTAGCCTTTACTTTCCAATAGAAGATTTGCAATTTTTCCACTTTGTCAGACTCACCACCTTTAAGTGAAAATAGGGACGAGCACGTAGGACGACCTTACGTAAACATATCACTAGAATATCACTAGAAAACAACATCCTCCACTGTATCTTTAAGATAAGCATGCAAGCCTCAAACTCAACGCTATTTCTGACATTTTGAATTGAAAAAGCTTCCTGGATGGGAAGCGAAACATCTTCAAACTTGGAAACCAAGTCCAGTGGATTTTTTTTTTACATTTTTTGCAATGCATGACAAAGGAAAGCTCATATTATTCTTACTACTGCCCCCTAAAGGGATGGAGTAAAAAAGGCAGCATTTTACTCTTATTTAAGACAATGCAACCAAAACGAGCTCTTCTGCAATTTAAAAACTGCAAAAAATGATGCAAATGCCATCAATTTCCCAGCCCCGTAGAAAATTCAAATGAGTCAACTCAACCATTCCACAAAACCAACAAAGCTGTCTGTAAAGCTGCTTTAATGCTGACAACATAAAAAAACACAACATAAATGCAGACAGAGCTTTTCTATCTACCACAGTTCCCTTACTAGAAAGTTTAACCAGACAGAAGCTCAAAAAAATTTTCGCTGATGATACAAACCTTCTCCCCCCCTTTAAAAAAAAAAAAAAGTCATTCTCCAATGGCTCCAGATAGTCAAAAACAAACAGGAAACAGATCCACCACCCCTACTTAAAATAGGGAGATAAAGGATAATGACCATGTTATAAAGCAATGCTAACATGGGGAAATTATTAGTTGTAGCAGCATGCGATGGGAACACTGAAGGACTGCAGCAGAACAGTGTCACTAAAAACAGTTACCTAAGCTTAAATAGAGCAATCTAATGCAGAGGGCAAGAAAAAACAAACCCCAAATGGGTTATATGCACTTTGAAGAATGACACAACAAGCTGAGACAGGAATTTAAGCCTATCATTACTTTGAAACCGTCAAAGAGAATAAAAAAAGGGGAAGATCAAAAGCTTCTAAGTGACATGCATAAATAAGATGACATCAGCATGTGATATTAATGACTGACGGTGTCAACTTTATGCAGAGTCACCGCAAACAGGAGCATCCAGAGAAAATTATCACCTGCTTTCCACACACCTTGCAGCCAGATGCTGTTTGGTCTGTGAAGATGGGGGGACAATCATGGGCGATTCAAAACAGGGGCCATCGGGGGCCGGTGCCCCTGTAGATCATGTCCTGGCCCCTTTACTGAAGACATAATACTCAAAGAAATTCTAATGATGATATGCGCTGGAACAGACATGGTTACTGATATGTCTTTTGGATCCATTTCTTTTTTTTTCTTTACAAATTGAGTTTTACTAATTATTTAAAAGACAATAACGTGATAACTTCAATGGTATTGAGATAGGATCATTTTTTTCATTAACTAAATGTTTTTTCAAAACAAATAGAAAAATATGCTAACTTTTACAGCTGAATTTATCAGTTTTTCTTGAATTCCAATTCAGATTTTATAGAAAACGGTAATGTTGACTGAAATTAAGTCAAAAATATATACAATTCCCAAATTATTAATGTATAGTGGACCTAATAAGGAACTAATATTAAACCTAACTGAATGGAAATTTCACTTCATGCAGCTCTCTTAACATATTTGAATCCCTTATGTCCCCATGAAAACATGCTGGCCCCCTCCAGGCCCTCTGGTATATTTGTTCTAGAACCGCCACTGATAATAACTGATGGTCTCTTGGACCCATTTCTTTTTTTTTCTTTACAGATCTTTTCTTAATTAGGATTTAAACTTTAATAAAGAGAAAGGACCATAGTTTTTATCTGCTAAATGTTATTTTGATCCAAATTAAAAAAAATGATGTGGAAATTTCACTTCACTCAGTGCAGAACCATAAATATGGTGGTATAAATATTATTTAAAGCTTAAAAATAAGAAAGTGTCATTTATAATTAAAGCTTTTCTTTTAAAACATCTGGTATATTAAATGTAGAATAGTTTTTGTTCTACATTCAGCGTTTCCTCTAAGCGCACCTGTAGATTATCTGGATTATAAATGCACCTGCATAGCGGATTAAATTATTGCTTGTTTTTGGGGGGCGAAAAAAAGCTTATGTAGTGCTTTTCTGTGGCCCCCATGAAAACACGCTGGGCCCCTCCTGGCCCCCTGGTACATTTGGTGTAGAACCGCCCCTGGGGAGTGTGTGTTTTGGAGGGAGGGGGGTGCCTAAAAGTCAAACTCTGACATGACGCACTAAAATACACCTCAGGTTAGTTAAATTGCTCAGAAATGTCTCTCAGTTCTACCGACGCTCCTTCCGGCCTCGTGTTTTATTGTTTCACATTGCGTATCTCCATGGCAACAGGGCTGCACAGGCTTGCCACCAAGGCATTCACACATTTCTCCCTCCTTGTGTCTCTCAGGTCTGGATCTCTGATCACTGCCACCAAACCAGGCTGGGAAAAATGACGTGACGGCTGCGCGCGCTCCAACTTAACGTTAGACCTCATTTAAGGAGTTCACTTAAAAAAAAAAAAAAAAGCCCTAAAAAGATCAGCTTAGTGATTAAATGTCAAGTCTGTATGTTTCCTGGAGTGAAGCTCCGCTCTGGTGGCATCTCTTCTCCTCACTGTCACGCGTTTTTTTGTTTTGTTTTTTTTTAAGCCGACATCAGAAGTTGTGAAGATGAGAAAAAACGCAGCGCAGCTCAGATAACAGCAGCGCGGAGCACAACAGGATCACACTTACTTTTATGTCTGCCTGCTCCCCACGACTGTTTAGCAATGCTCGGGCTCCGGATGATCGCCCTTCCAGCGGATTTCAAAGCGTCCATGTCTGAAGCCAGAAGTGGGGCGAAGAGCCCACCGCGCGCCCGTCCGTCTCCTCAACCTCCGCCTGATCAATGACGCGTCCAAACTTTTACAAATATCAATAATCGGAGGTTTTCCTCTCGCTCTGCTCGCACCTCGGCTTCGCTTCTCTCGGCGGTGGATTATCATGCTCGTCCCCCTGGGCGGTGTTCTGTATGCAAATGAGCCGGGTAGCCTGAGCGCTCTACGCTTTGTGGTGTTACGCAAGCGGTTGGAGCGGCAGCTCGCTGCGGCTGAAGCCTCGGTGCGGATCTGCTCCCATCCAGTCACCCCAAACACAAATGATCCACTAGTTTAATCCGCTATGCAGGTGCATTTATAATCCAGATAATCTACAGGTGCGCTGAGAGGAAACGCTGAATGTAGAACAAAAACTATTCTACATTTAATCTACCAGATGTATTAAAAGAAAAAGTTTTAATTATGAATGACATTTTTATATTTTTAAGCTTTAAAAACCTTTAACACACACACACAGTTTACATTGTACCCAGTGGTGGTTCTAGACCAAATGTACCAGGGGGCCAGGAGGGGGGCAGTGTGTTTTCATGGGGGGCACAGAAAGCATAAAATAAGCTTTAAAAAAATATTTATACTCTGTCAGGAGCGATTCTAGACTATATTTATGGTTCTGCATTGAGTGAAGGGAAATTTAAACGTCTTTTTTTTTTTATTGGATCAAAATAACATTTGGCATATGAAAACTATGGTCCTACCCATCCCTATTTCATCATTCTGCTTCATTCTATCTCTATTCTTCCATTCTACAGAATCTGTTGGTTCAATCTCTAACGTTCTGCTCTCTCTGCTTTTTCTCATAGTAGCTTCATCCGGTCTGTTCCCGTTTGGCTGTGACTCCATCCTGGAGAGAAATATCAGCTGTGCTGCTGCCATCAACACCTTTGTTTATAAATGTTGGAGATCAGCCTGTTTTTCAGTGTAGTCCTGTTTCTCTGATTGTGACTGGCTGGATGTGCTCTCTTTTGCCTGGCAGTGTGTTTCCTGGACGGTGCCGCCTTTAACAGTTGCATTTTGTATCTCCGCTTCTGTCTCCTTGAACCCCAGTCGGCCTCAGCAGATGGCCGCTCACACTGAGCCTGTTTCTGCTGGAGGTTTCTTTCTGTTAAAAGGGAGTTTTTCCTACTCACTGTCGATATAAGCATGCTTAGTGTGAGGGATTGCATTCCAGTCAATGAGTCAATGCAATCAGCTGGTTTTCCTTAGATAGAAAACTGGATGACTATATGTTCTGGTGAACAGCAAAGTGCCTTGAGGTGACATGTTGTGAATTGGTGCTATAGAAATAAACTGAGTTTAAATATTACTGTTTAATCCTAATTAAAAAGATCTGTATTGAAAAAAAAAGGAAATGGGTTTAAGGGACCATCAGTCATTATCAGTGGTGGTTCTAGACCAAGGGGCCATGAGGGGGCCAGCGTGTTTTTTATGGGGACACAGAAAAGCATGAAATAAAAAACAGGGCAAGGGATTCAAATATGTTAAGAGAGCTGCATGAAGTGAAATTTTCATTCAATTAGGTTTAATTAAAACTCTATTTCTTATTAAGTCAATATACATTCATAGTTTAGGAATGTGACTTATTTTTGACTTAATTTAAGTTAAAATTAATGTTTTCCTTAAAATCTGAATTAAAACTCGAGAAAAACTGATACATTTGGCTGTAAAAATAAAAATAAAATCTTTTAGCAGATGAAAACTGGGGCCATATCTCAATACCACTGAAGCTATCACCTTATTGTTTTTAGATAATTAGAAAAACAAAATTTGGAAAGAAAAAAAATGAAATAGATTCAAAGAACCTATAAGTAACCATGTCTGTTCCAGCACATATCATCATTAGAATCTCTTTAAATGTTATGTCTTCAGTACAGGGGCCATAACAGGGGCCAGGACATGATCTACAGGGGTACTGGCCACCATTGGCCCCTGTCTAGAACCACCCATGGTCATTATGTCCCTGTGTTCATTAGATTTATTTTTTAGGTTTAGTATGATGTCTTTATAACAGGGGCCAGGGCCTGTTCTACAGGGGCCCCTGTTGGCCCCAGTCTAGCACAGGTGCTTCTGGATGTTATGGCCCCTTTACTGCAAGCATACACAGAAAGAATTGATATATAAGTAAATCAGCTGAAATAACATGCCCTGGATTTGAGGAGGTAATGTAGACAATTTGGTAATAGAATAAAACGATTTTCCTTAAAAATAAGAAGCAAAACCTCCATTAATGTATTTCAAATGAGTTAGTGGATTCCAACATCTAGCTTATTTTTAAGAGCATAAATACTCATTCCTTTGGTCGATCATCATATTTACATGCTGAAATAAAGGGCAAATAAACTCATTTATTTTTACATATAGATAAGTTTTTGTTGTATGATACTAAAGGAATTTTTTATAACGACAAAACATAAGTGATAAAATGCTAAGTTATAAATTCTTGCATGTTTTGTGTGTGTGTGTGTTTGTTATTATGTACTGAGCTCCACTCTGGCCTCCCATGTAAATGTTGTCCAGAACCACCATATCACCTTGTAAACCCTCGATTGTGATTAAAGCACCCAATATTTAGTAGAAGCTTGCTTTATATCTTCACTGGTATCTTTGACGATTCATCTTTTGCAATGAAAACAGTTCTTTAAGCTAAAAAAAATGTATATAACCAGATATTTACTCAAAATCAAGGGCTATGATTAACTTGGGTTTATATATTCATTCATACAAAACATTTCACTATGTAATAGCGTTTGTTTTTTTGTTGATCAGAATGACAATTCTTGGTAAGTCACATTTTTGTTTGTTTAGAATATTGCCTTCAACTGCAATATATCGGGTGTATATTTTCTATTTTTTATTCCCATGAGAGATTTTAGTCCTTAATCGTTCATATTTTTCTACCATCTTTATAAAATAAGAAACTATATTCCAGTTGAACGCTGTAAACATGACTAATTACTTTTCAATGTAATGAATTTAATTTCCCCAAAGGTAAGGCAATAGGAGCTTCCTATGTGCATTTTTTTCTATGTGCTACATTTAATGGTTTACTAGAAAACAAAATGGACTAAAAATTCACATTTATATTCATTTATTATGTATTTGGGAAGTTCTTTGTTTCAATAGGATTTTTTTTTCTCAGAGAAACTGATACTGTCGGGGATTCTTAAAAGGCTTCAGTTGATACCAGCCGACACCCCATGATGCATTGCACTGCAAAAACAATCCAGAAATAAGTAAAAAATGGCTTAAATTAAGTATATTTAGCCTTAATTTGAGTAGATAAATAAGATGATTTGCCAATGGAATGGGTATTTTTACTCTTAAAATAAGATAGTTAGATAATATTTACTTGAAATAAGAGGATAAAATAGTTTTTTCTTATTTTAAAAGGAAATTGTCTTGTTCCATTGGCAAAGTGTCTTACTTACCTCCTCAAATCAAGGAAAAACACACTTATTTTAAGAAAAAATAACTTATTGAGATTTCTATTTTTTGCAGTGTGCATTGAGTTTATATCATTAGCCTTTAAATGAAACCACTCAGGAGAAAGGCCTGCAAAACATCCTGCAGAACCTGACTTATACATGACATAACAAGCTGAGAGAAACAAGTTCATGAGGTTAAGATGTCACTGGGAACACATTAGACATTATTAGGGCTGTAAGAAGTCTGAGGCCTGGTAAGAAGGAGGGACTCTGCTCTCTTTCCTGTCTCACACGAGGAGGACTGTACAAAATGAATCTTTCTGCTTTGTCATGTGGAGGTTTTGTGAAATGCTGCTGTTTTCAGGTAGCTGAACCCCTTAGACTGAGACTACAGCTGCCTGGGGGGGAAATATGTAGAGCTGCACGTGAACTGGTTGCCCAACATGCCAGAGCTCTATTTCTACCCCACGCACATCTTTTATTTATTCACTTGTGTGCAGAAAAGCAAAGAGCATTCTTAAAACAGAAAACGAGGAAGTATCTGTATATATTTGAGAATTCAGATCAAAAATGAAACTAAAATAATCTGTATATATCTTTTTTTTTTCATCCATTTACAAACATGCTGACTTCCTTTGCTGAGTTTTATGCCGAGTAATAATCTTCTGAGAAGGGAGTAAAATGTATATTTCAGTTAAAGCATGATTAATATGGAAGGAATGAGTTTTTCTTGCTGGGCAGGTTTTTCAGGCCTAGCATGCAGCAGAATGCAGAGCAGAGGCCAGAAATACACCGTCACTGTCAGGAGGAGGGGAAAATATGTGCTCAGATTAACAGGAGAGTCTGGGATAAATGTCTTTTCAGGATATATTTCAGAATAAAATCAGAAACTCAGAGGGGGAAGCAAATCTAAATATAAAATGCAAAGAATGCAGGACTGTGGTGTTAAATGAAAATGTACTGCTGAAGGATTCCTCCTTGGCTTTCATTTCTTATAGATATGATCACTATGCTTGGAGAAGTCATGTTCAGTGACGCCGTGGAGATTTTATGCATACTTTCCTTTTGTCAGCTATAAATGGGATTTTATGCTCATAAAAGGGGAGAATAATGGAGTTCGTCAAACTTATTAGCCAGATCCTATAAGGACAGTTTTAATCTGTTTTGATTGGCATGTAGAGGTTGACATTGCCTCCTAGTGGTGCAGAAACTATCCTGCACTTTTTCTTTTTACATGCGAGTGAGTTACAAAGTGAGTGGATTAAAAAAGAAAACAACAGAAACAAGTAGATATGTTTGCAAGAATTTATTTTTTTTATTTTTTATTTCCTGTAAACCTCACAGAGCGAGGGCGCAGCCAAGGTCAGACCTGGGAGGAAACTGAACAGACTGTGGGCATAGAAAACAAAAAACAAAACAACCTGGGCTTGGATTTACCAATCTGTTGACAGAACTGACCAAACTCTACTTTTCACAACATTTTTTCTCCAATCTGAGAAGTTATAGTTAATATTTCTCCATATACAGTAGGTGGATGAAACCATGAGGCGTTACTTAAGTCGATGGGGGAAACCAAATCATACCCAACAGCTACAACTTTAAAAAAAAAAAGAAAAAAAGAAAAAGGGGTGGTTTCAAATTTTTTTTTATAAATTAAAAACTGAACCGGTGACCAAATCCTCTGCCTGGTTCAGTTTTCCCAGATGTTTTCAGCTGGAAGTTGACAAATATGTGAATAAATTATTTGCAGTACATTCTTCCAAAAGGTAAAGCATTCCAGTTTCTGAAGCCGGATCATTTTGTTTCCTTCTTATTGCTGCTTTGTTGAAAGATTTGGGCTTTAATGAAGCGGAGATGTTCAGCTGCTCTGATTATTTATACATCTGATGATTTTTAAATGTGGTTCATTTAAAGTAAACACCTGTTTTAAAAGGTGTGTCTCAATAGAATTCCTGCCTCCTGACTAACTTTTCCGGCTCGGGAGGAATTTGGCAGGCTAACTGAGGAGGGCGGCGTTTTGTTGTTCCCTCTAGGCACCGGGATCATGCAGATCAACAAGCACTCCTCACAGGTAGGCATGACTAGCAGTCAGTTTCCAAACTGATTAAGATTAGCCATCTTATTTCTTTATGGAAGAAAGTCCCTTTTTTTGAGATGTTGGAGAAATTTAAGTAAGGAGAGAAAAATATCCATCCGCACACAAAGAAAGATTTCTTTTCTCTTACAGAAAAAGCACTTGGATCATGTTTTACATTTGTTGTTTTGTTTTTTTTTTATAAATATGGTGGAACCATATTATTCCAAATAAAAATAATCATAACTAGCTCATAAAGGCCAGGGCATGCATACAGTTTAATCTAATCTGTTTGCAGCATCATCTCAGTGCCGGCTTTTGGGTTAAACGCGAGAAATACATTCCTCCGGTTGTACAAATGTGCCAAAAACACATGGAGATATGAATCAGAGAACAATGGAGTGGAAGAGACTCATCTGCTTCTCCCTGGAGCTGGTAGGAATTCGCAGCAATAGGGGAGCGGCATCCTTGAGATGAAAAATATGCGCCTGAATCTGTGAGGTTTCACCAGACATTGAAATAAAAACCGAGGGTTTTCTAATTTTCCAGGGATGTCAGTTTTTTTTTTTTTTGGTCTTTTGTTTTAACTACAACAAACACAGTCACACATTACAACATCCTTCTGACCTGGCAAAAAGAGAGAGAACAGAAGAAAACCGAGCTCTCAGCTGCGACACGACAGGGCTGGCAGGAGCAGTAGAAGTATAGAGAGAGGAGAGGGAGGGGCTGGAAGAAAAAAATTAAAAATAAAAGAAAACGTTCACTTTTTGAGGGGCTGGTAAACAGAAGCGTTGGGGTCCAGGCCGGAGGGACTGGTGTCCATGAACTTTGAGGAGTAGTGGGGGGTGACGGGGGTCATGCTGCTGGTGTCGGGTGTGTAAGAGATGCTGGGCATGACGGCCATAACTTCTGCTATCTTCTGCTTCAGATCTTTGATCTCTTGGTCCTTCTGAAGGATCTGACCTAAAATTAAGATTTAATTTACACCTTAAATATAAAACAAGAGAATTCATTCGACGATAACGGCTGATTAGCAGATATTTGGCGCACCTTGTGCAATCTCCAGCTGTCTCTTGGCGTCTCCCAGAGCAGAGAAGAGGTCCAGTTTGATCCTGGTCTCTGCGCTCAGGCTGTTTTCCAGGTGCTGAGTCTTATCCTGCATCGCTGACAGCGCTGACATCAGCACCTCTGTGTCTTTTTCATTTTCTTTATATTTATGAAGTTCCTGAAATATAAAACAAGTTAAAAATTTCCCATAGGTACAAAGCAAACCAACAACACGACTCCATGCAGTGAGTTTACCTGAACTTTTATTTCCAGATCTCGTATCTGCTCTTCTTTCAGCTTGATATCCATTGTTAATTTTTTACCCTCTGCTTCTAGCTCAGTGATTCGCCGCCGCAGCGTGTCTGTGCATTCCCCTCTGGAAGATGCAATAAACTTAATTGAATCTTCAGTCATTAATAAGTTGCTGGTAGAAAAAAGGAAACAACGTACCTGGAGGCTGCTGCTAATGCTACTGCTCTGGCCGCTGTGGCCTCCTCTAGTTTCTTTCTCTTCTTTTCTTCTGTGAGCTGCTTCTCAGCAGTCGCTCGGGCCTCTTGTTCTACTTTGAGCCTCTTCTCTAGCTGCCCGACTGTCTGTTTGTCCTTTTGTTTTGCCTGCACAGCATTATGAAGCCTAGGGCATAAAAACATTTAGTAACACATCTGGCAGCTTAAAATTAGAGGTATTGAAACTGGAGATTATCAGTTTAACTTCATGGGTTGTCTCATACAACAGGCAAATATTAAAACAAATCGTCCCCGTTTTATTAGCAATATGTCTAATTCTTTTACGCGTCACCGCCCCAAATGTATTAAGACTTCTTACTTGTTTTGGAGCAGCTCGTTTTCCTGGCGCAGCTGGCCCAGTTCAGTGCGTATGGAGCGCTCAGCGCTGCCCAGTGAACCAATCTGGCTGCGGAGGTCCTGTTCAACCTGCCGGCTGGCCTGCAAGTCCGCCTTCAGCTTTTTAATGTCCTGCTCCAGTCTGTGCCAGGCGAAAGTCAAAACAGACAACACGTTCAGGAAACTTTCTTTTTTTTTTTTTATACGTCTTTTCCTTCAGAACAGATAAAGGAAGCAGGTCATCTAAAAGCACAAAACTCCCATTAAACCTTCAACATAAACCTACAAATCTGTGATTTCTTAAAAACCGTTTGGAGAGTTTACAGTGGACACCAACAGAAATCCTACTTAAACATGGATGACGTTATACACGCACCGCTTTGTTTTAAAAAAATATAAAATATATAACCGTGGATGTCTGTGGGACAGTGATTCGCCTACATGTTATGAATGCTGGCGTACCATAAATGATAAATGATAAACAGTTTAGTTTGTGCCTTCAAGTCGTTGCCCATAGGAAGACGTTACCTGGATATAGCCTAACAGAATATCTTCAGAACGGCTCCAAATGACACAAAACTCATATGGGTGATAAGAACATGATATAATAACGTAAAATCAACGGGCCAATGTAAAAAATACAACAAAAAAAAAGCAAAAAAAAAACAGCATTCCCCTTTAAGTGGGATACACCACGCTTAAAAATGTGCAAAACCCCCGAGGGTCAGAGACTCTCCCACCACAGTCTCCTAAAATCCTTTGGGAAACACTGTTATATATAATATATATAATATATATATATTAGGGATGGGACGATTTATGAAAACCGTCAGAATCGATCGGTTCGACTGGCTCGGTTCGGTTCGCGTGTGTTTTGTTCGGTTCATGCGCTGCTCCTTTTTCTCATAGGCAAAGCGTTTACACTCCAGAGCAGAAGGTGGCAGTGCTGCGACCAAAGCCAGCCGCCAGTAGTAAACAAGAAGAAGAAGAAGTGAAGCAGCTTAGCCGGTGTAGCAGGGAAAAAAAATCAGTTGTTGTGGAGAATTGTGTCGGAATGGCGAGTGGGAAAGAACAGGAGTTGGAAGACGCGCCAGCAGCACTTTATAGGTCTGCTGTATGGGAGCGCTTTGCATTTAGAGTGACCTACGATGACGGCGGAAAGAAAGTTGTGGATAAAAGTGCAACAGTGTGCAAGCATTGTGCAACACGTTTTGTTTATGCTAACAGCAACATGTCATGCTAACCCTGAAATCCCTCATACTCCGTCAGCAACCCCCGCTGCGCTCCAGACCGGCTGTTTTTTGTAATTCAGTAAGTTTCCAGGTTTCTGGTGTGTATATGCAGCATCAGATAATGAACTCAAGCCTACATTACCGTGTTAACATGCTTTTCAATCCTTCCTGCACATTCTGTTCAAACTAAACATTGCTTTAAACTGTTGTTTGCTTAGAAAAATATAAATTGTAATGTTAAAAACAAAACAAAAAACTTCACAGGTTAAAAACTTACACTACTACAACTCACAAATTTAACATGTTTAGCTCTATAACATTGAAATGCACCACTCCAATGTCTAAGAGAAAAACATTTAATGAAAATGTTTATAATGTATGACCACTGTACAGAAGACTGCCATATGATAGAAATATTTACACTGTGCGCATACAATTAATTATTATTTTCCTAATCCCTGACTGATCATTTGTAATCTAGCGTGTATTATAGTATAGATTAAATTCATCATCCAGTTGCTGCTCTGCACGCCATCTAGCGGAAAATCCCACGGCTTTTTCAAATCCCGCGAGAATGTGAACAAAACAACAAAGATGGCGCAGAAATGCTTGTGGGTCGTTTTCAGTGAATGTCGATGATTTTAAAGTAATTTTGAATGATAAAATATTTTTTTGGGAAATTTGTACTCTCCCGACAATAAAAACTACTTGCCCCGGGCTAACGGGCAATGGTTGACATCGAGCCCTGCATACACACACATCAATTTCAAACGGATGGTATCGGCCAATACTGCACAGACAGGTATGGGGTATCAGTATCGGGGCCAAAAAATGGCATTGGCGCAACCCTAATTATTCTAATAATCAATTAATGACGATTAATCCAATGGTTTCAGCTCTAGTTTCTATTACTATTCCCTTAATCACTTCAGCAGTAATGCTTTTCCATATAATCAAACCATTTGGAGACTTTAATCTATATTCAGCCTCTGAGCTCAAATAAAATTCCTCTACAAGTTTGTGTTTAATATTAGAAAGACCGACATCGTCCTCAAACACAGAGTGACCTGCAGAATGATTTGCATGTGCTGGCCTAGAGCTGTACATTGTAATGGATGGATGCGGTTCCTACCTAACGAGCGCCTCTGGCTTCTTCAGCTCGTTGTTCGGGATGCAGTTGTCTGTGGGATCTTTGTGGGAACTGCCTGACGTCCCTTTTCCCACCGTTAACTTGTGCTTCTTCTCGTTCTTCCCCGTTGAGGACGGCTGCGCCGAGGAGAGCACGCTGCCGTTGCTGGCGCTGTGGCCGCAGGGCGAGGAGCTAAGCGTTACGGTGTTGGTGTTAGCATTTTTGTAATTTTTGGAGGAGGAGGAGGAGGATGAAGATGAACAGGAGGAATTGTTGTCCTCTTTAAGCAACAGGTTTTCTGTGCTGCCCAGCTCTGTGGCCAGTCTCTTGTTGTTTATATGTTTTTCCATGTACTCCATCTCCTGGAGCTTAGAGTCCAGCGATGACGGCAGGATGCTGTTTTGTTGCTTTTTACTATCGCCGCCACTTCTTCCGTCTTTCCCTTTTTCTCTATACTCCAGCTCCGGTAAGGGAACAGACGCCTTTTTATTGGCCGGGGCGCCATTCTGCGACACTGGAGGCGTGTCCCCTTCAGATACTCCTTTAGCCGGTGCTGCTGTATGGATTAAGAAAACTGTATTTGACACAATTTCTACAAATACTAATATGACAAGAATGATTTTAAATTTTTTAAACATGCATTTCTCTAATTTCAAGGAAGGTTTTTGTTGCATGTTGAATTTAAAATCATTCATTTCAATTGTCTTTATCCGTTATCTTAACTAAGTGCTGGTTTATATGCAGATTTAAGGTTCATGCATTATTGCATCACTTTATTTGTTTTTTAACAATGTGATGTTCCAGATCAATGAAGCAAAGAGTGATATCAAATATCCTGATTACAAACAAAGTTTACTGGTTAAATCAAAGGGGAGAAATAGCTTTCTCAGCCAAAGTGGCCCTTTGGTTGAGAACCTGATCCCTGGCATTATGTTCCCAGGGAGTTTTGGTTTTCTTTTTCTTAAACCCTTTTTAAGGAATAAGTTTTTTCAAATTTTTTTTTTCACATTAAAGCCTGTTTTAAATCAGCATCAATGTCCTGATGCTTTTCTTTAGAGTTTTCAGACACTTTTGTAACATCAACGCTCTTAAAATCAGCTTCATGTCAGACTCTTACCTTCTTCTGCTTCTCGCTCTTGCCTTTGAAGCATCTGCTGCTCTGGAGGTAGAGCCTGCTGTAGCAGCTGCATATAAAACTCGTTCTCTTTCTGCACTTCTTTCTGCTTCCGCAGACGCATTTTATAGCTAACGTAGCTCTTGAAGCCAAAGCCCAGCGTTACTACGGGATAGCCGATGCTATGGAGAAGAAGACACACAAAAATAGTATTAAATTAAGTCAGAAATACTATAGTTACAATTAGGGCTGCAACTAATGATTATTTTACAAATCGATTAATCTGTCGATTACTGTTTTGATTAATCGATTAATAATCAAATACTTTTTACAAAATTAAACCAGGTGAATCTATTGGAAAAATGTAAATGTCATAATTTTATCTGTAATCATCAGACATGGGCAATGTGGAGTCAACAAGTCATCTCCATGTCATGTATTTAATCTACCCAGCCAATTAACCAGGTGAGTCCAATCTGCACAGGTTAATTCACAGTGAAGATTGGACTCACCTGCTTCAGTGGCTGGGTAGAACAAATACATGACATGGAGATGACTTGTTGACTCCACATTGCCCATGTCTGGTAATCATTGACAAGCATTTGGCCTGCTAGGAATGTTCTGTTGAACAAATGGTTTTACCAGAAAGGGAAAAGTCCTGCTCTATCCAGCTGTGTGTGGTTGCAGCTGACTGATCATCACCCAGGCTCGGAATGGTAATCTGTGACATTTGCCCGGTGGCCCGGTCCTAAATTCAGCATGCGAGGGCCGACCCTCCTTAAATCATATCGGCCCCAACACTTAAGCCCAATTTATGCTTCTGACGCATAGCCTCTGCAACCATCAAATCTGCGCAGACAAAAAGCTGCTGTGATTGGTCCTTGGTATGCCTTTCCGGCTGTCTGTGTGGTCGTCCCTCTCGATTCGGTGCCGGGGCGCGCCATTTAAAAAAAAGAAGAGTAATAACAAGAATGGATAAACATGACGAAAGGTTGATCGAGGAGGTTCGGAAGTACAACCACTTGTACGATGCCTCGAACATGTTTTGGAAAATAAACATCCCGCCGGCGCTGCCAAAGTTCTCGAATAGGCTCCCCCTAGCACTTTGAAGGGGAACTGCTGTGTTTCCCTAGAAATTTCAGACCGACGTTGCAGAAGCATACCAGCAAAAACGGGTTCGCCACCAGGCGCAAGCGACATTTGTTGTGTGCGGTTGCAGAAGTATAATCCTCCCTTTACTCTCCAGCTAGAGCACCTACCTGCGACAGTAAAATAACTGAAGGAACTCAAGAAGTAATACAATGTTAACTACCTGAATGATGCATGCAGTATATATAGGCCTTCCTTGTCATGCACATCCTAGTGACGGTTGGCATATGGTGTCATTTTCTATTTCCTCAAACTGTAAAATCCTCGCAACAAACTAAATTATAATAAAACTAAAATGCTTTCTTTAAACCAAACTTCGATGTTCCTCTTATATGTGGTGAATTTATATTTGAATATTTTGCAAAAATATGTTGCAATGCATGATGGGTTTTGCATCTAAACGCTAATAATTCTAATGTGAAGGAGCAATGCAAACATAATCCATTGCTTGCTAGCAGTGCTGTCCGGGTGTGTTAATCCATGTGGATTAAAATGGAATCTGGAATAAATTGCAACTTACAAAAAAGTTCTGCTATCAAGACAGTGTCAAGGTAGGCCTTTTGGTTTTTTTTATTTTGCCCACCTCGACATGTTGACTTGGGCTCACATGTTTTGCAAAGTAGGTTCGGCTCATTTGCGCTAAAAGGTGGGGTTCAATATACTATGTTGACAGACTTTTTATAGTTATATTCCTCTACAAAAACGGTATACTCAAAACTGTGTGTCCGTGCTCATCATGTTTTGCTTTTTTCTTGATGGAGTGTGAAATATCACTGTAAACGGTATTTCAATGCAAGATGGAGGAGTCGTGTGATGCTTGTAACCAAGAGTGAAGGCTTTGGAAGGCAATCAATTGACTGTGACGGCTAAGTGTCAAGGTGTACAAGGTTAAAGGGGGGCCGGTGTAGATGGAAAAAAATGCCAGGGCCGAAAATCATTCCCAGTCCGAGCCTGTCAACACCTGCAACAAAACTGCACAAGGAACCGTCATGCTTTATCATGTGTGAACCTCTGACCCCTCCTGAAAACTTTTGACTCCTCCTGTTACTCCTTTGAAGTCTGCTAATAAAGGCAGGGGACAGAGAGGTCCCGGCAGAGTTGACCACAGACATGTCTTCTCTCCTATTCTGCAGAAAAGTAACTTGTGTGTTTGTGTTGGACACATTTCTAGGAAAATACGAGGTTATTATTATTTAACCACATCAGAAACTAAACTAAAACTTTCCACTTGAGGTTGCTGGATAGAAGAGATTGACTGGAATGACGAAAACTTTTTTTTAATCTTAAATGCAAAATGTTTATATATTTTTTACAATTCCAATATAATTACTGCTCTAAGTGGGTTGCTCCATCAGCTAAAGTCATGTTTTACAGTCTCTATACTCCAGTTAATGATTGATTATTAAAATAGTAGACGATTATTTCAATAATCGATTAATCCGGTTGTTTCAGCCCTAGCGACAATACCTTAAAGAGGTGTAATAACCCCTTAAACCGTTTCAAATTTTGTGAAATTGCAAACACCCAAGTCAAATGGTTTGAAGTAACATACCAACCATAAGTACTGTGTAATTATGAAATCATCAAGTAGCAACAAGAAGACCAAAGAACACTGAAATTAGGTTCAGGGATAAGAACTTTGGAGGTTTGAAGTTGTTGGGTAAGTGCAAAGAAGGTGTTTATTGTTTCAGGAAGGAGCAAGTCATGGCAGAGCTGCTGGTCACGCTGTTTATAATCTGTCATCGACTGTTTTGTTTGTCGAAAGAGTAAACTATACATTTCTAGTTTTAATTTATAAATGTAAAGTAAAAACTTTAAAGCATTGATTGCGGCTTAAGTCTGAGTTTTCTAACTTGCGATATATATATGGCTCCGGCTGTTATCCACAGCTGTGATGAAACCAGGCACAGATACAACGGAGATCAGATGGTTCAAACAGAGCTTAGTTCTCCTTTCTGCAAACTGACTAAGATTAGACTGATCTCTGTGATGTTATGGGCTGGTTATAGTCCCGCAGCAGTGTGTCGCAGTGAGCTTGTCGCAGGTATGACGCAGATATTTTTGATTTATGCCCAATTTTGAAGCGTGGTCTGCACCAGCTTTGCTTCCCTGTGGTCCTGTCACACCTTGATGATTTAGCCAGCGTATGCCTGATGTATTAAAAATCTGGCAAAAACGGTGGCGTACGTTGAATAAGTTACGGATCAGTTTTGTATAAGCTATGAGCACGACATACTGCAAGTACGTCGAGAAATTTTGAGCATGCTAAAACATTTTTTATATATGCCAGTGTATGCTCAGTGAGCTTGTCGCAGAGAGTTTTGATTTATGCCAAATATTAAAGCGTGTTCTGCGATATGTTATTCCACGCCACAACGAAAGAGGGACATTCACAAACTAGCTGTGGGTCTAGATACGGCCGAGGCGGTGAGGAAGTGATGGCAAGAGGGACATGAGGGCGAAAAAGAGTTGGGATCCAGGTGGAAAAAGGGTCCCAGCGTTCTCGCGCACCTCGCTCTTCTATCTGGTCCATATTCACGAGTCGTTTTTACACAATGGCTGGTAAGGTACCAAACAGGAAATACGCATAGAGTAGAGCGGATGTAGAGTAGAGCCTCTGACCGAGGCCTCCTGTCTGCGGTCACCTACAATTTTGGAGAGGTGCACCGGATTGTCTACGGAAGGGACGGGGCATATCTGTGTTCACTGCGACACACATGCAGAGGACCTGGTTTCTGAGTATAAATCAGCCTTTACTCTGTCTCTGTGTTTTTAATGCAGATACAAAAAGAACTTCAGGATCCAAGGTTTTATGTGAGTCAAAAAAAAGACATCAAATAAAGAATAAACGATAAGCTGTGCTGGAGCTGTGTACACCCATTGCCCTCTTCATCAGGGGTGGGCAATTCCAGTTCCTGAGGGTCGGTATCCTGCAACCTTTAGATGGTTTGGTTCAAAACACCTGAAACAATTAAAGCTACAGTGTGCAACTTTTAGTGACATCTAGCGGTCAGACTGCAGACTGCAGCAACATGAACATCTCCCCCCCACCGCTTCTCCCCCCCAACAGTACGGCGAGCGTTACGGGACAAAATGTCTTCCACGACGTCCGAATCACCTACCTTCTCAAGTGATGAAGTTTGTTTCCATAGATAATTTTACAGATAGTATTTCATTAGTCTGTGAAGGGTATAGATTTCATGTAGACTTAAGATAATAAATATACCCGTTATTTTTTCTACATCGTTGTGACATTTTGGCGATCTCGCAATCGCTAGTTTGTTGGCTCTGCGCTGCCGTAGCGCAAAGATGTCTGCCTCCATGGCTGCGAGACCCGCTCCTATGTAATTATAAATAACAAATTCTAAGGCAATGCAAATATTACGGTTAAGAGGCTGAGCTCGTAGATGATGATAAATAACATAGATATGTATAATATATTACATTTCTGACTGTATATCCCTGTAATTATTACACACTGTAGCTTTAAGTAATTAGATGATTGAGGCCTCTGGAGGAACTGACAACATACCAAGGAGATAACTCAGCCATTTGATTCAGGTGTGTTGGACCAAGGATGGATTTAAAATTGCAGGATATCGGCCCCCAGGAACTGGAATTGCCCACCCCTGCTCTACATGATGCAGGGTGGGCAGAGAGAACTTAATGGGCCAGGCTACTACTCAAACAAAATTAACTCAGTGCATAAAAAATGTTAATGATTTATTAAGCAATTTCTAAATTGGTTCAAAACGTTCACAATGACCTTAAAGTCAATCCACAGTGAGATAAATTACCAATAAATTCACCTGTTTTCCTTTAGAAGAAAATATTCTAACAATAAGCCACATTAAAATGATGCAGTTTTTTAATTAACCAATAAAGAACAAAATCATAGAAGAACAGTAATAAAATTTTATTAGTAACTTAAAAAGGTTTGATAATAAACAGAACTGATGCTCACCAGTGTGCAGCAAAGGGACGACACAGGTCCAAGTGGAAGTTTTTCAGGTCTTTGAATCTGATGGCTGCCTCTATGTACACAAACAGTATCCATAGAGACACAGTGGGGAGACACACACCCCTCTCTGCATCAACAAAACAAAAGTGTCAAAACTTCACTTTAAGCTTTAATTTTTGGGGGTTTAAAACAGTGTGGTCAATTTTAATTTGCTTTTAATGTAATTTCTAATTATATGAAAAGCAGTTATTCTTCAAAAAACATGCTTAAGTTACATTTCAAGTTACGTTTCTTTATTATCAAACTAAATAAATAGATATTCCAAAAGAAAAATAATAAACAATTTTAACAATAAAATAAAATGGTTTTATTTGAAGACCAAGTTGTTAAAGTCGTAGGGAAGCGGCTATTCCAACCGTTGCATTTCTAAATTCTCAAGAGTGGTGCACGACTTTACACTAGTGAATAAAGTGAATGTGATTGGTCGTTTATCAAGGGGGCGGGATTGTTGTGGCGGAAGGTTCGCAAGAATGCTTGGTTGTGGCCGGTTTGTCGAAAGCATTTTGCTAACAAGTTAGCAACTTAGTGCTAGTAGGTTCCCAATGGGAAATTACATTGGGACCAAGTAGCACTAAATTGGTGAAATGACACCGTCAAGGAACGCTATGGACAGAGGAAACATGCAAGAGGAGGAGAGTTTAGTGTCGGAGGTCGTGGATGAGTCTCCTCCATCATGCATGTTTTATTTAGAGGAGGAAAGCGGGGACGAAGATGTTGTGGAAGAGGACGCCAGGGCAGCAGAAGCTTGGTTTGGTGTTGAAGGCTTACAGCCGTACTGTCACAGTCTTGGTTTTGTTATGTTTATTTAGAGTATTCAGTCTTACTTTGCTTCTTGTTTTAATGTCTAATTATTATTTTGTTGTTTTCTTGTTAGTTCCTGTCCTCCAGGTTTTCCATTTTTTGTCCTCTGCTGCCCTCTTGTGTCCTCTATCCCTAGCTCTGTTCTCTGCTCTGTCCTCCCTTGCTGTTTTCTCTGTGCTGCTAGCACCTGTTGCCAATTTCCTCGTCAGCTCTCTCCTCGTCTCTGTCCCCTTTAAAAACCCTCCCTCTTCAGTTCTTGTTTGCTGGATCCTCGTCTAACATCTCATCAAACCTCTGGTCAGTTCTCTGTCGTCCTTCCTTGTCTCTTCCTGGTTCTTAGTTTTGTTTTTTTCCTGATGTCTCCTAGATTCTGGTTCTGAAGATATTTTTGTCGGATTTTTTGACTCCTGTCTTGTAAGATATTTTTATTGGATTTTTTGACTCCTGTCTTGTGAGATATTTTGTTGGATTTTTGACTCCTGCCTCAGAGCCTGATTACCTCCTGCCTCAGAACCTGAAAACCCATTAAAACACATAAATTCATCCCAACCAACTCTTCTCTGCGTTTGGGTCCTCTACCAACACCACCAAATCGTGACAGAAGGATCCAGCCAACAGCATGGACCCAGCAGAGCCAAATAAAATAAGAGATTTTCTTTCTCTGCTCATCTCTTCATTCGACAGCCTACCTCTGATCAGCCCACCTTGGAAGCGGGTGAGTGCAGCAAGGCAGGTAAAGGAGAGACTGGAAAAATTCCCTGACTTCCATGACTTTTTTCTCCAAACTGGTTACATTGCTGTAGCTGAGTGGAATATACAGGACGCTTTTGCTCAGCTACACAATAAACCTTCACCACCCAAACCACCACTCCGAGACATAACTCAGCTTCCACCAACCTCCGAATCCGAGCCTCCATCTGCTGCAGCTGCTGGTTCGCCTCTGCCTTCTGCCTCTTCCAGGCGTAGGAACCGCCGCCGGGGCAAGAAGGCCTTTCCATCTCCAGTGGGTCAGCCTGACCCCTCCACTCTCTCTGTTGTTCAGCCAGCAGCAGGTCTCAGTCCTCTTGCTCACCAGGTCAGTCAATTCCATCCCAGTAAGCACCTGTTAGATCAGCAGATTGTTCCCTCGGTCAGAAAACTCAAACTCACGCCACTTATCAAAACCCCTGCAGCTAGAGCTCTCTGTCAGTCAGATCCCAGATCAGAACCAGATTCTTTTCCTGTTTCTCTAGCCTCTGAGTCTGCCAGCGTTCCGTTTTCTCCAGCTCACGTTAGCCATCCAGTTTCCCTAGCTTCAGGACCCGGAAGTGATCCGTTTCCGTTAGCCTCAGAACCAGTTAGCTTACCAGTTCCTTTAGCTTTAGAGTCCGTCAGTCACCCTGTTTCTCCAGTTTCTGTTAACACTTCTTTTCCTTTAGTTCCAGAGCCCGGTAGCGTTTCTGTTCCACTAGCTTCAGAACCCGCCATCATTCACGCATCTCCAGTTTTTCAGCCCATTACATTCCACAATCATTAGCGTCAGAACCCGGAAGTAATTCTGTATCTCCAGTTAGCGTTGCTGCTTCTCTAGCCATAAAACCCCAGACAGTCAGAGCTCCCCACATTCAGGAGTCTGATCTCTGGAATTTCTATTATGGGGATAGAGATGTTCTTTTCCCGTTTATGCCACCTCGTATCTCTCCTCCCCAGCCAGAATCGGTCAGTAAACCAGTTAGCTTAGCGTCCGAACCCGTTAGCAGACCTGTTAGCCTTGAGTCAGAACCAGTTAGTGAACCTGCAAACCTAGCTTCTGATCACTTTAGTACATCTTTCCCCTTAGTTTTAGAGCCAGTTACCTCGCCTGATTTTCTAGCCTCAGAACCAGTTCACATACCAACCAGTTTAGTGTATGAATCCATTTCCAAACCAGTTAGCGTAAAACCAGAACCCATTAGCCCAGTTTCTAAGACCCCCCGATGTAAGAGACGGCGTCGCCATGAGCCTGCTCTGTGCCGTCCAGAGACCCCTGAGCCTGCTCTGTGCCGTCCAGAGACCCCTGAGCCTGCTCTGTGCCGTCCAGAGACCCCTGAGCCTGCTCTGCATACTTTTCGAAAGGCTTCTGAGATCGGGGTTAGTGAAGATACACCTCAGCGGGTGCCCCAAACTGCCAAGACCCCTCTGCGGGAACTTCAAGCCACCTCAGAGACTGAACCTGTGCTACCATGGGCAGTTTCCTCCATGCTGGGTGTGGAGCCACAGTCGGTGGTCTCCTCCGTTCCTGATGTGGAGCCACAGTCGGTGGTCTCCTCCGTTCCTGATGTGGAGCCGCAGTCGGTGGTCTCCTCCGTTCCTGATGTGGAGCCGCAGTCGGTGGTCTCCTCCGTTCCTGATGTGGAGCCGCAGTCGGTGGTCTCCTCCGTTCCTGATGTGGAGCCGCAGTCGGTGGTCTCCTCCGTTCCTGAGGTGGAACCGCAATCGGCGGGCTCCCCTGTTCCTGAGGTGGAGCCGCAGTCGGCGGGCTCCCCTGCTCCTGACCCGGGGCCGCAGTCGGCGGGCTCCCCTGCTCCTGACCCGGGGCCGCAGTCGGCGGGCTCCCCTGCTCCTGACCCGGGGCCGCAGTCGGCGGGCTCCCCTGCTCCTGACCCGGGGCCGCAGTCGGCGGGCTCCCCTGCTCCTGACCCGGGGCCGCAGTCGGCGGGCTCCCCTGCTCCTGACCCGGGGCCGCAAACGGCGGGCTCCCCTGCTCCTGTCCAGGGGCCGCAATCGGCGGGCCCCTCTGTTCCTGAGCCGCAGTCGGCGGCCACCTCAGAGGCTGTTCCTGAGCCGCAGTCGGCGGCCACCTCAGAGGCTGTTCCTGAGCCGCAGTCGGCGGCCACCTCAGAGGCTGTTCCTGAGCCGCAGTCGGCGGTCACCTCAGAGGCTGTTCCTGAGCCACAGTTGGCGGCCACCTCTGAGCCTGTTCCTGAGCCGCAGCTGACGGCCTCCTCGGACCCTGTTCCAGAGCCGCGGTCCGCGGTCCCCTCAGAGACTGTTGCTGAGCTGTTGAAACGGAGACGTCGTCCTCCTCCGAGGTTCCTGCTGCAACGGAGACGTCGTCCTCCTCCGAGGTTCCTGCTGCAACGGAGACGTCGTCCTCCTCCGAGGTTCCTGCTGCAACGGAGACGTCGTCCTCCTCCGAGGTTCCTGCTGCAACGGAGACGTCGTCCTCCAATGGTCCCCCTTCGTTGCCTGACCAACGGCCGGCCACCTGAACGTCTGCCGTGCCTCCGGCCCCGTGGCCGGCCCCCAGAGCGCCTGCCACGCCTCCGGCCCCGCGGCCGGCCTCCAGAGACTCTTCCTCGCCTCCGGCCCCGCGGCCGGCCTCCAGAGACTCTTCCTCGCCTCCGGCCCCGCGGCCGGCCTCCAGAGACTCTTCCTCGCCTCCGGCCCCGCGGCCGGCCTCCAGAGACTCTTCCTCGCCTCCGGCCCCGCGGCCGGCCTCCAGAGACTCTTCCTCGCCTCCGGCCCCGCGGCCGGCCTCCAGAGACTCTTCCTCGCCTCCGGCCCCGCGGCCGGCCTCCAGAGACTCTTCCTTGCCTCCGGCCCCGCGGCCGGCCTCCAGAGACTCTTCCTCGCCTCCGGCCCCGCGGCCGGCCTCCAGAGACTCTTCTCCGTCTGCCTCCAGAGACTTTTTGTTGCCCTCGCCCACCCTGGGTGGGTTGATTTTTGGACTCTGTTTTGTTTTCGTGCCCTCCTTCCTGGTTCCCCCTCCGCCCACCCTGGGTGGGTTGTTTTTGTTTCTGGACATTTTAGGGCGTCTGGGATCCGCCCTTAAGTGGGGGGTACTGTCACAGTCTTGGTTTTGTTATGTTTATTTAGAGTATTCAGTCATACTTTGCTTCTTGTTTTAATGTCTAATTATTATTTTGTTGTTTTCTTGTTAGTTCCTGTCCTCCAGGTTTTCCATTTGTTGTCCTCTGCTGCCCTCTTGTGTCCTCTATCCCTAGCTCTGTTCTCTGCTCTGTCCTCCCTTGCTGTTTTCTCTGTGCTGCTAGCACCTGTTGCCAATTTCCTCGTCAGCTCTCTCCTCGTCTCTGTCCCCTTTAAAAACCCTCCCTCTTCAGTTCTTGTTTGCTGGATCCTCGTCTAACATCTCATCAAACCTCTGGTCAGTTCTCTGTCGTCCTTCCTTGTCTCTTCCTGGTTCTTAGTTTTGGTTTTTTCCTGATGTCTCCTAGATTCTGGTTCTGAAGATATTTTTGTCGGATTTTTTGACTCCTGTCTTGTAAGATATTTTTGTTGGATTTTTTGACTCCTGTCTTGTGAGATATTTTGTTGGATTTTTGACTCCTGCCTCAGAGCCTGATTACCTCCTGCCTCAGAACCTGAAAACCCATTAAAACACATAAATTCATCCCAACCAACTCTTCTCTGCGTTTGGGTCCTCTACCAACACCACCAAATCGTGACACGTACATGTTTGAGCCCTTGCCTCGCGACGCTGCCAGTTCTGTTAGCTCAACGCCTGCCGAAGACACAGACGTCCATCCCTGTGAACACTGGGACGGAACTCAATGTTCAAGTAGATGATTCTTATTTCTTATTTCAGCTGGTGCGTATATTGGCTGCGAAATATGAATCAAGATGCTATGACCGAAAAAATTTGATTGACAGATGACCGATTGATATATGATTGGAAATTAGGTGTACAAGTTGACATAAAACGATCTGGCCTGCATAAGATGACGAAAAAAAATACACAGATTTTAAGACAGGACTTTTTTTAAATAAAAATTTTCTACATTTTGGGACAACATCGTCTGAAAAAGAGTACATTTATATACATGTTTAAGTCAGAATGATTTGACATTTAAATAGGATTTCCCTACAACTTTAAATACAATCTGACATGCTTCACATCTAAAAACTTTTCCTTCTCTGTAATTCAGGGCTAGACTTGATCTTTCCATGTCCATGCTATAACCAGCAGGGATGTAGTCTGCCCTGATGTAGACTCAACCCATTGTTTCCTGGCAGCACTGCACTGTCAACATTCAGCACCAAGCTGTGGGGTGCAATAAGATATTTATACTCCTATGACATGCTGCGAGTCTGAATGTTGCTGGTGAGTTTGGAAAGCAACTGGGAACCACTCCCCCCCCTTTGCTACCAGCAGGCTCTTGGATTACAATCCGACACCTGGCCTCTGGTCAGGCAACCGCTATTAAATCAGTCTGACAGGTCATCAGCTCATGTACGTCAAACATGCAAAAGTTTGGGAAATAAATCTCATGTTTACAAGCGAGGAAACAAAGAAATAAGCACTTGTTTCACACAATCCCGATGCATTCCTTTTGGAAAATATTCAGGAATTTCAGGTGAAACAAGACGAACATGTGAGCTGCTAATAAATACATTAAATAAAAGATAAAATTAGATACATAAGTTCATTGTCAAAAGATCTGATTAATACTATAAACCTGTCAGGAAACAAAAACAGGCATCATAACCTATTTTTTTTGCAATTAATTAGAAAATCTAAAGAGAATCAAACATGGGGAACTTACCGGTGTGCCAAACATACTGCACCCACACATAGGTACTGGCAGCAAAGAACAGCCATTGGACCGGGATGAAGAGGAGGCAAATGATGTCGGAGGTAAACGCCACGCAAACAAAGAATACTGAAAACGCCTGTAACAGAAAGCAGAGGGGACACTAAGACTCCCAGTACAAAATGACATATATAGATCCACCATACTCTCTTAATAGTTATCATAATTAAAAATCTAATTTTAAGAAAGTATTAAGGAGAACAATTGTTTGTGAAACACAACAAAGTCTTAGACAAACTTTGTCATTTTGTACACAGGGTGCATACAAGACGAAACTTCATTCAGTACAGCTTCAAGACCTTTCCATGATTCTTAAAGTGCAGCACTGATAAAATGTAAACATGGTGTTCAAATGTAAACATAAGACTGAGATATGATTTACAGTTTTTTCAACATTCAGCGCTTTTTTCCCCCATTTTATTCGACATTCAGCTGCAGATAAAGACCACAGGAAGCTGGTAGAGATTTAGCTTTGATTTAGAATATCTAAAAAACAAAAGGAATGCCAGTAAAACTCATGTGAAAATATTACCTTCTGGTTCTCTGTCATCTCATGGAGAAACATAACAAACACCGACACAAAATATTCAAACAAGAACAGGCTGAGTCTTTTATGAGTATGAAATGAAAAACAGAGCTTTGTTAAATTAACTTCAGCTTCTTTTATATATATATATATATATATATATATATATATATACATATATATATATTAGGGATGGAATGGTTCGGTTCGACTATCTCGGTTCGGTTCGCGTGTGTTTCGTTCGGTTCATGCGTGGCTCCTTTTTATCACAGGCAACGCGTGTACACTCCAGAGCAGAAGGTGGCGGTACTGCGACCAAAGCCAACCACCAGTAGTAAACAAGAAGAAGAAGAATCAAAGCAGCTTAGCCGGGTGTAGCAGAAAAAAAATCAGTTGTTATGGAGAATGGCGAGTGGGAAAGAACAGGAGTTGGAAGACGCGCCAGCAGCACTTTATAGGTCTGCTGTATGGGACCACTTTGCATTTAGAGTGACCTACGATGACGGCGGAAAGAAAGTTGTGGATAAATGTGCAACAGTGTGCAAGCATTGTGCACCACGTGTTGTTTATGCTAACAGCAACATGAACAACATGTCAGCTTAGGGTTTTTCCTAACAATCAACATATACCGAACCGAACCGAAAACCGTGACCACGAAACCGTGAACCGAACCGTGGATTTTGTGAACCGTTCCACCCCTAATATATCTATTAGTCGTGGAAACCTGATCAGAGCTAAATATTTTCATCATTAAGGAAAATACTGGTATAAGACGGGGATGCACAAATAAAATCCATGTTTTTATTGTATATTATTTTATATACACAGCGAGTAAATTATGAGAAATATGGATTAAAATGTTAGCTCGTTAGCAAGCTTGACTTTTTTTGGAGTAAATAAAAACTAAAATCTATTCTTAGTAACCTTTGAAGCCATGCCACTATTTCAAGTTATTCGATGATAACTTTCATATTTACCGGTTGGTAAGTGACACGCTAAAGATAAAACATTTATCAAACTAAATATATTCAGATTAGCCTAAAAATCACCAGAGAAGAGAAAGTTTTAACTTGGAAAGACCAGAAAAACACTGGACTTGATGAAGAGTAGGGATTAGGGCTGGGCCAGTATTTGCATTTGCAATATAATCGCAATTTAACAAAACACTATCTTCAGATCGCAGAGGAAACCAATTATAATCACACTATATTTAACAAGTGTAAGACACTGCAGTTCACGCTCGGCGGTAAAACACATGAAATGTCTTTGTCGCCACAATGAAAGGTAGTTTTGCAGCTAGCATGCAGCTCCGTGCACACAAGTAGAAGCCCTTTTAGACACAAAGATGACAGTAAAGTCCTACAACAAATGACTCTGGATAAGAAGGATTTCAAAAACTGAAAGGCGGTGGTGAAAAAAAAAAAAAACCTGGCAAGTTTGGGTTTAGGGTAAAGGAAATCCAAAATAAAACCGCAAATGCAATTCTGTTAAAAATAATGGCAATTTAGATTTTTGGCAAAATCGTTCAGCCCTAGTTGGGATAACTCTAAAATAAGTCTTGATTCAGCCAAGGTGGTTTCTTCAAATAAAAATGTAAACCTGCACAATAAATTCTGACTAAGTCTGCATGACTGGACTGCATTAGTTATTCATGTATAAAATCTAACAGATCTGATTAATAAACACATAAATATAAATCCTTGACAAAACATTTTTTTCTCTAAGACAGGATCTGTTGTGAGTTTTTGTTTTATACAGAAATTGAGTTGAAAACAAACTAAAGAATTGCTGGTGAGAAGTTAGAGGGCATATTGTGTTAGCTTTGCATGTTGGCAAAAAAAAGGTAACAATAAGCTTTTCAAAATAATATCAGTTACTTCGGGTAATCTACAGAAATGAGGAAATAATTGTGATAAGGTCAGAAATACTTTTATTACACAGTGAAGTTAAAACACTTCCTGATTTTATGCTCGTTTCCATTCTATTGTAAAAATGAAAGCTGTTTTTTAAATGTTCAATTCAACAGTCACATCACATCTAACAGCTCAGATAAAAATCATATTGCAAGAAATGTTGGGTTCCTTCTGCTTTAGCAATAGATAAGGCTGGTAGATTTGGGTAAATATATATATCTATTTGTTTTTTTCCTACCAAATAGGATTAATCTTTTTCCTCCCTTAAGATTCATAACAGCAAATGAGAAACTTTACTTTCAAAAACTGGCTTTTATTTCAATTGGCCCCTCTAAGAAGTGACCTTAATTTAGAGAACTAAATTCGAACTGTGAAACATGCATCTAAAGCATGTCTGTTTCACAACAATAATATAACACACTAAATGTTTGCAAGTGGTAGGGCCGTGCATTGAGATAGTTCTTAGTTATGAACGCACATCTGAGAGCTAAATGTAAACAACTGATGTCATCCATGGAAAAAAAAAATCCAGATATTTCAAAAAACAGGAAACTCTATTAATCCCCCAGCTCTAGCAATGTAGTAAAAGGATTTACATGGTGTTGGATCATTAGTCCTTTTTTTCCACTTCTTATCTTTATTCATGACATTTCGAAATTGCTTCACAACTGAGAATGAAAATAACGTTTCAGTTAAAACGAAGCTATTCTCTTCAGGTTAAAATCTGGATTTGTTTGCTCCATGATGTTTCATAACAGCTATGTGTCACTAACCACACGCTAAGGTGACGGTGCAAACCCTCATTCAAAGTATGCTGAAAGGAAAGGTGGTTGGGTTCTTGCAATGGTAATACAAACTAATACAGAGGTCTATCACTTCATGCTTAAAAAGAATTAGTTTTATTGGTCTAGATAGAAGGAAGGAACTTCTTAATGGCATGTTTTGCAACATTCTTCTTTCGATTTTAAATCTGATGTACATATCTGTGTCTTAGTTGTCAGAGGGAGGAATAAACGGTTTCTGAAAGCCTTCTGTAGCTTATGATTTGTGTTGGTGTATAAAGTTTGTATAGAGGCTCTTCAATTAGTTGGTATAGTCCACATCTACTCACCAGTCCCTGGTATCGGAAGGAGTCGTACACACTCCGCATGAAGAGCCAGAAGGGCCAGAGGTACTCAAACCTGAACTCAAGCACAAAGTCTGCCAGCAGCACCAGAGCCCACACAACCAGGAACTTCAGGTACAGGAAGGTACTGGAATAAGAAATGAAAAATATAGTTTTTAATCACACGTTCTTATAAAGCGCTGATCAAAAATAACTTTCCAACGTATTCTTCATAAAATAGGTGCTCCCGTCAGCTGCAACTCCTCCGCTGTTTGCATGCCAGTTGTTATATTGGAGAGGAGGCTACAGTTCCTGTCATTCTTCCTGAAACAGCCTTTTTTTATTGTATGTTTAATTTGGGAACAGGGAATGATAATGTCTAAGTCAACATATCTAGTATGTTCTTTACTACACATTTGTTCCCATTCCTGTTAACAGGATTTATACAGGAATGAGTAACTTTAATTTAATGCTCTTAGAAATAATTTTAATGCTATCCTCAAGTACCCATGACTCTCATATAAACACGGCAAAATCCTTCGTCACCTTTACCATCGACACCTTCCTCGTTTTCCAGCCACTTTTGTTGAAATTAGCATTTTCAAATTCTTTTTTTTTTTTTCTCCGCCTCGAGCTTCTTTTCCAATAATTGTTTTTATATATTTTTTTTTTAAATAGAGCATTTTAAATGCCACAATAATCACATTTAATTTTAATGCCAATTCAGGCCTTAATTAAAAAATTTATAATTTAATGAGTTTTAATGATTTTTAATGAGCCGTGGAAACCCTGTGTTAAAGGAATAGTACGCCCAAAACATGATTAGCCTTCATTTTCTACTCACCCCCATGCTGAACAACACTCTGGAGTACTTTTTTGATATCTCAAATGCATCTGGAGATCTGGGAGGCTTCTTGCTGTCTGCTGACATTCAAATAATGGAGGTCTATGGTGACCGAGACAGAAAGGTCCATAAAAGTCCACAAAAAACGTGTCAATATTCCTCCATACTGCTCGTCCAATGTATTCCAAATGTCCTGAGTGGGTAGCATCCAGAATTTACTCGAAACGAAGTCATTTAGAATGTTTTTAGAGCGTAAACAGTAGTGTATAGGATTTCCTGAAAGCGCGCACATGCACGTTCACGACGCTACGGAAGCCGGCAGACCAAACCAGCGCATTCAGCTCAGCAAAGAACTCATGCTCTTCCTCAACACTGAAGTCCTCAGACATTTTTCTTTCGTTGTTTCTTTCTTTGCACAGGTAAACAGCACATTTCTTCTTCTACGCTTGCATTATTGGCAGAGCAGACGCTGAATGCGCACTTTCATCTGGTTTGGTCTGCCGGCTTCCGTAGCGTCATGAATGCGCATGTGCGCGCTTGCAGGAAATCCTATACACTACTGTTTATGCTCTAAAAACATTCTAAATGACTTCGTTTCGAGTAAATTCTGGATGCTACCTACTCAGGACACTTGGAATACATTGGACGAGCAGTATGGAGGGATATTGACACGTTTTTTGTGGACTTTTATGGACCTTTCTGTCTCGGGCGCCATAGACCTCCATTATTTGAATGTCAGAAGACAGCAAGAAGTCTCCCAGATCTCCAGATGCATTTGAGATATCAAAAAAGTACTCCAGAGTGTTGTTCAGCATGGGGGTGAGTAGAAAATGAAGGCTAATCATGTTTTGGGTGTACTATTCCTTTAAGGACAGAACCGGGACCTACAGCTGAAATTTGATTCACCTAAAGACTGAAGGATTGTTTCCAAATAAGAATTTAGGTGCAAGAGAAAATCAACTTATTTGATATGTGAGCACTTTTAAAATGTTAAGCTAAATATCTTAAAAAATTGGTAAATAATTGATTTATCTTCGCTGAAAATTAATCAAGTTATGATAATAAATATGTTTTTAATATCTTGCCACACAGGAAAAAAAAATGTAACTTTCACCTGAATAAAGAGTCTATTTCAAGTTAATCAGAGTTTTTGTTGCACTTTAGCTTAAAAAATACACTATGTACTCATCTGCAGGTAACTTATGATCAACATACATGATCCAAGAATTATTGCTCTTCCAATACGGTAGTTACCTTATTTTCTATCCCACATACATGACTTTAAATGCTGTCGTCATGACACACCTATTTAAATCAGGTATTAGGCATAATATTGTTGCAAGCATGAGTTAAAGCCCATTGGCAGTGAATTCAAGTGATGCACTTAGTCCAAGCTAAACATTAAATTATGTATAATATAAAGATATACTAATAAAGCGATTAAGCACTAGGCTGGGATGTTTTTACGGTCATATTCAAAGGGATGTTCGTTTTGGTTGATTTTATGTTTTAGTTCTTTTATCTTCTATATTTTTTTATTCATTTTAAAATGTTTTTATCAACCGTAGTGGATTTTATGGTGTTTGCATTGCAGCTTTCATGCACTTTGGTCCTATTGGTTTATTAAAGTGCCATATAAATAAAGTCAGATTGAATCCAGAAGTGAGAGGGGGATTTTACTTAATGCTGTGATTATTCTCACTTTTGTTTTAGTTTAAAAGGAGATATACAGTTGGATTACGACTGAAATGTGAGCTGGTAATTTGGACGGCAGCAAAATAATTTTTAATCTGCCCAATATCTTCAGACCTCAATGTTTAACCCTTTATAGGGTAAGTTACCATTTTTGTTCACTTGCCCTTAGAAATTGAGTCTCCCATCCCACAGTGAGGTCTAGAAGCACAAGATCTATACCCAGCCATTCAGCTAAGACACTGCTACGTGGCTGTACATCTTATTTTGGCATTTAAACAATTAGATGAGCCCTTGAATGAAATATTAGCTACTGTCAATTAAGTTTGGATAAAAAAGTTAACAAGAAAAAAAAGGTAAAATCCTGATTGAAAAAGATTGAAAAAGTAAAGTTAAAAAGTTAATAAGCCTAGTTAACCCTTTCTATGGCACCCAGTGAAATACTTTGAAAATCAAAATCCCTATTACCTTTGTAACATTAAAGAAACATGGATATTTTGATGGCAAAAATTTATATCAATGTAATAACAAGAAATGGCAACTTGCCCGAATATATTAAGAAAAATAAAAGTTCTTCAATTAGAAATTCATGAAAAACACTCTTAGAGCACCAGAAACATTATTATTATTATTATTTTTTTTGGTCCAACATAACCTTAGAGGCATTAATGCTGATACTGGTACTTACATGTTTGAATTAATAAACCTAACTATAATTGTTTACTGGGCTTATTAACTTTTTAACTTTTCAATTAGCTTTTAACTTTTTTTTCCCAACTCATTTTACAGTATGTAATATGTCATTCAAGGTCTCATCTAATTGGTCAAATGCCAAAATAAGATGTGCAGCCATGTAGCAGGATCTTTGCTGAATGGATGGATATAGATCTTGTGCTTCTAGATCTCACTAAATGAGGGGGGGGGGTTTCATTCTTGTAAGGGAAATAAAGGGTTAACAAATATATTTAGGTTTATAAACTACTAAATGTAAGTAACAGTATCAGTATTAATGTCTCTAAGGTTATGTTTGACCAAAAAAAAAAAAGTTTCTTTCACTCTCAGAGCGTTTTTCAGGAATTTCTTATAGAAGCACTTTAGTTATTTTTCTTAATATATTTGGGCAAGTTTCTTGTTATTACATTGACGTTCACTTCTGCCATCAAAATATCCATATTTTTTTAATGTTACAAAGGAAATAAGGTCTTGCCCTGGACTGCAATAACACTATTGGCCTATAAAGGGTAAACTAGTGGCTGATTGACTGATTGACTGGGCTATAAATAAAGGAAGCCACCCTGTCAGTTTCAGTTTAGCTCAATAGATGAACATAAACCTCCAGTGAAGCTGCCTTACAGAGGAGGCTACCTTTGACGGGAGCTTTCTGGGATTTAAACTGATATTCTGAGCTGTTGGGTTAGTAAACTGTGTATCGCTGCTCCAAAATAAACCCAATGACATAGCTCAGAGCAGGCTGTAATGGGGCCTAGCAGCTTAGTTAGCTCAACAGCTAATGGTACCTGCAGCCAAATATCTACAACTAGCTTGTATAACAACACCTCCCGCTGAGGCGGCTCACTCTACGCGGTCCAAACTTGGTCAGAGCCGTGGTGTTTAGGTTGTTCCGTGGAAGTTACCTGCCGTATATCCCCTCGGTGATTCGGTTCCGTTTTAAGGGCCGTCTTAGTTTGCTGCAGTCCGCATTGCGCCGCTTCATCCTCCTCCCCTTAGCTTCGGCCTTCGAGTAACAGCTATAATCTTATCCAGTTTTCTTGCGTATAATGACAATGATAATAAATAAAATAAGCGTGGTGTGTGTGTTGCTGTTGTTATTATTATACCCCCCCCCCCTGCTGAACAGAAAGAAATAAATAAAGGACTCAGTTCAGGATCCTCCTCTTTTTCTGTTAGCGCACGCTCAATAAGCACAAACCGCGCTTGGTTGTATGTACGTGACGTTGACGGACAGACGGGACAGCCAATTAGCTTTTCTGTTTTCTTTGACTGAGCGGTTCACTGACCAATCAGATTTCACCAAAGGAGCTCGCTCTCTTCTGTCACAGACAACGAAGGAACTGCGTTTGGAGCGTCTCACCAACCAGCCAATCATATCTCTTGTGAACAAATCCACGAAAGCTGATCAACCAATCAAAACTGAAAGGGGCGGTATATTTCCAGAAGGCTTTTTGGTTTTATTATGAGGAAGAATGTGCTGCCAGTGGTGCAAAATGTTCTTTTTGTCACTTACAAAAACAGCCATTCCACCAATTGAGGCTATTTACATCAGGGGCCGCTGTGAATGGACAGGCAGGGCCAAAGGCGCTGAATATATGCTTTGTTTAAGATAGCATGTGAGAAAAAAGATAAGAAATGAGAAAATGTTAATATGTAAAGTTGGTATATATAGTAGATTTTTTTTAAATAGCCAATAAAATGTATCTAAAACAGAAAACAATAATAATCATCATGTCTTTATTGAATCATTTGAAGAGATGTATGCAAATCAACATTATTTTGGTTTACATTTTTGGTCATAATACATAAACATAACCTTTTTTTTAAATTATTATTTGATTATACATGGAAGAGTTGGATTCTTTTATTATCACTTTTTAAAATATACAGACATGTGTTCCTGTCCATCAGCTGATAAAGAGCTGAGTGGGTTGCGCCCAGTTTCAAACCGTCTTGGCAAACATCTATGTGTCAAAAGCAGAAAAAACACTGACCAAATGGCTCCTAAATACGCTCCAAGCCTTCGCTCCCGCTTGGCTCCTATACTTCTTATTCTGCAAACTGGATTCTTTATCATAGCTGCACTTTGCTTTGAGTACAAACAGTTCATCAGACTTGACAGGGAGGCCTTCATCGACTTTTACCCAGGTAAGGTTTAACATTTATTGCAAGCAACATGATATTCAGTTTTGCCATAACAGTGATTAAAAACTGTTAATTATTTTGATATGCGTCAATTATCAATTATTTACAATTTATTAACAGGTCATGCTGATATACTGCTGTTAATTATAGTGGATTCACTGGACTTTATTTGTGACTGAGGGCTTCTGCTGTTTTTTTTTTCAGAGTTCCAGGATGTGAATGTGATGCTGATTCTTGGTTTTGGCTTCCTGTTTACCTTCCCAGTGCGGTATGGCTTCAGTGGCTATGGGTTCAACCTCCTTGTTGCCGTCATTGCCACCCAGTGGGCACTCATACTGAATGGCATTAATTCCTGGTATAACACCAAAATCAGAATTGATTTAAAAAGGTACAGTTATCAAAACAATCAAATGCACTTGTGCACGTGAAAGAACAGTAAAAGTGTTGATTTATTACAGTTATTTGCCTCAAGAATAGAGAAAAAATACTACTGATTCATTTCAAAAGCTTTTTTTCCTGTTCATTTTGAGGATCAGAGCTTACAGCACATAAAAACCCTCAAAGTTTATTTCTTAGAAAATTGAAATATTATTATAATATATATTAATACACAGAAAAGTCGAGAGGAAAAATCTATTATCTATTTTCTGAAAAAGAAATAAAAATATCCAGGAGATTAATTACATATTTTGCAGTATATCAAAAGAAATAAACTGAAAAAAACTTTTTAATGATGTTCTAATTTCCAAACATGCATGTATAGTAAGAATTGCATTCTAAATTTTTTTTTTTGGCAAATATTTTTTCATACAGCATTATAAATGCAGAGTTGTGTGCCATGTCTGCTCTCATATCAATTGGAGCTGTATTGGGGAAGACAAACCAAGTCCAGCTCATCCTGATTGCTCTGTTGGAAGTGACTGGATTTATCTTAAACCAATGGCTCCTCCTTACGCTCCTGAAAGTAAGACTTGTCCAAGCATTTTCAGTTTTAGTCAATGCAAAGCTTCAAAATAATGCCCCAAAAGTCAAATTTTCACTGCAGCTCCACAAAGTAGTAATAATAAAGTGGTTATTTATTGTGTCTAGGTCCGGCCCCTGAACAGCATCATGTTGCTTTTTGTGTTTGGTTCCCTCTTTGGGCTCATGCTGACATGGATCCTGCACAGAAAAACCCAGGAGAAAAGATTTGAGAAGGAGAAATTTGACAACAAGTCTGGGTTGTTCTCAATGCTGGGTAAGAGACTACATTTTTTGATGTCATGTTAAGCTGTGCTGAACTTAGACATGGGCTGTTTTGAGGTATTTGAAGTATGACAACCTTGAGTAAAAAATAGTTTCACACAATCAACTCAAACATGATAAAAACCCAAATATAGAAAACAATTAAATTGAATTTTATAGAATTTTACAATTTTACTACAAAATAGTTTCATATACTTATGATTATTAACAGAAAGTTATAATAGTTGAATCCAAAGAAGTGTTCATGTCTATTGGTATCCATAGATAGTCATTGAATTTAACCCTTTATAGGGCACTCAGTGAAATACTTATAAAATCCAAATTTCAACCCAATAGTGTTATTGGAATCCAGAACAAGACCTTATTTATATAGTTTGGTGGCAAAAATTCATGTCAATGTAATAACAAGAAACGCCAACTTGCCCGAATATATTAAGAAAAATAACAAATGTGCTTCTATATACTTCGGGTAGGCTTATTACATTTTTTACTTTTCAATTAATTTACTTTTTTTTCCAAAATTAATTTATAGTAGGCAATATATCATTCAATTCCTCATCTAACTGGTCAAATGCCAAAATAAGGGGGGGGCGGGGGGACTCCATTTGTAAGGGATCAAAAATGCTAACTTGCCGTTTAAAGGTTTAACTTCACACCCAGCTTCATCATGCTCTCTAAAGAGAACCCCTGTGCCTTTCTAGGCACTCTGTTTCTCTGGATGTTTTGGCCCAGTTTTAATTCCATCCTGGTGGATGAAAACCATAAACTGCGAGCTGTGTGCAACACCTACCTGGCCTTGGCTGTCAGTGCTGTGACAGCAGCTGCTCTGGCTGTGCTCTCCAGTCCCAGAGGAAAACTCAACCCGGTATGATCTGACCCTCTGCGTGTTTTCTATTATTTTACAGCTTTATGTATAGTTTCAGGATTCAGGTCCTGTTTATTCATAGACCCAGGCTCGGACTGGTAATCTGGGCCGGTCCTAATTTCAGCGTGTGAGGGCCGGCCCTCCTTAAATCATACCAGCCCCCAACACTTACTCTTTGGCCAAAGCACCTACCTGTGATAGTAAATAACTCAAGAAGTTCAAGAAGTAATCCAACGTTAACTGCCTAAATGATGCATGCAGTATATATAGCCCTTCCTTGTCATGTACATCCTTGTGACGGTTGGGATATGGTGTCATTTTCTATTTCTTCAATTTGTAAAATCCTTGCAACAAACTAAATTGTAATAAAAAACTAAAATGCTTTCTTTAAATCAAACTGCGATGTTCCTCTTGCATTTGGCAAATTTATGTCAGAATATATTTGCAAAAATATATTGCGTTGCATGATGGGATTTTGCATCTAAAGGCTAACATTTCCCGTTGTCACTACCCGATCCGTCCCCGAAGCACGATACATTCTGCGCATGCGCAAAAATGATAAAATAAATTATGTAATTATGGTAATAAAACTGCTTATTTCTATCCTTAACTCACTAAAGAATTCAAGTACACATCTGTAAAAAAAAATGTTTTATGACTTTTGCGAGACAATGTTTATGCTTTTTACATTTTCTTCATTAAACTGCTTCTCTGACGTGATCATCAGATGTGTTCAGAACAGACCAGCAAAATATGATTAAACTATGTTTATCTGCATTTTAGTTGTTTCTTTCTTTAGATGACACACTATATAGTATAAGGTTAAAAAGAAACGAAAACATAAAACTCAAAAAGATTAGATTTATGTTTAAATCCAAAGCCGAAAAAGTAAGCCCCCGGAAGTAGCGTAGGATCTCATTTTCCGGTGCAGATCGGGAAGAGACGAGAGATAAAACAGAAAAGATTTTAAGGCATCTTTTTTGTCAGGGAATACATTTTTATCCTTTAACACATTATATTTTAGTATGTTTACTATTTTTGGGGAGGGAACATGTCATTTAGGTATTTTTAACAAAATAAAATCAAGGACGACCCGCATGTATATCAGGATGCGCAAATGAGCTGATGGCGCATGCGCAGAACGGATCGTGCTTCTGGGACGGATCGGTATAGCGACACCCGTCTTAAGTGTATTGTTGCCAGGTTGGTATGTTTCCCAATCTGGCAGTTTAGGATGGCCATCTATAAGTAAAAAAAATTTTCTTTAGATTTATGGCCCAAGAGATCAATAGACTTTGGTTCAAATTGATTTCGTATATCCAGGCGGCTTACAATCTTTTTTGGGCTGGAAAACGTGAGTCAGTGACGGCGCTGTATGTGTAAGTGGGTGTCTGGCTGGCTTTGTGAAAGTGTTACGCAGCAGCAGTCACTGTCATGTCCGTGTTAATAACCAAAGGCAGTAAAACTGCATTATAGAAGTCTTGTTAATGGTTGGGGGTCTATAAGCGGGCCGATGTAGATGGAAAAATGCCAGAGGTGAGAATCATTCCCAGTCCGAGCCTCCATAGACTTTAGGGAGAACTGAAATGTCAGCAATCATTTCTCATAATTTTCCATCCCCAGATCCAAATGCAGTCAAGTATTCTTTCTGGTGGTGTTACTGTGAGTGTTTCCATGTCGGTAGTTGAACATCCGTGGGAAGCCATGGCACTCGGATTCACTGCTGC